GGGGGGGGGGTGGGGGTCTGAGCGACCCCCTGCCAGCTTCTCTGTGGGAAGCGGGACACCAGCCCCGGCCCCACAGGGTCCCCAAGGAAGGGCTGCCGCCCTCGACCGTGAGCGCCCTGAGGGTCGGCGCTGGTCCACCTCCCGCCTCTCGCAGCTCTGGGCCTCGCGTGCAGTCGGTGCCTAATATGGGCTCATCCGTCAAACGGACGGGCCCGGCGGCTGCCCTCGTCCCAGTCTCCACATCGTGGCTGGAGAACGCGGACGACGCGCCTTGATAACCACTACGTCATTCCTCAACGGGCCGCGGGGCACGTCAGATAAACCCTCCCGACACCGTCCCCAAGCGCGTGTGCTGGTGTGTGTGCACACACACGTGCCTGCGTGTGCCCTCGCTGTGCCGGAGTCCGAAAGAGACACGCTCTGCTTCAGAGAGAACAGGTGAGGCAGAAAACATCGGAGGAGCGGCAAAGAGCCGTCCCACGGAGGCGGCCCGTGCAGGAGGGAAGCAGGGGTCTCCGGGCCACAGCACGCGCCCTGGCCCCGCCCCAGGAGCTGCCACCAGCTCCCGGAATCTCCGCCTGAGTGGTGCAGAGGGTCCCCGGCAGCGAAACGGTGGCCAACCGGGCTTTCTGGAACCGCGGCGGGCCCCAGTGAGAGCGGATTTCTCTAAGGAAGGGCCCTCCCCTCCCCTTCCACACGCCTCGGGTACGGGGGCCTGACGGGCTCGCTCACTGTAAGCGGCCCACGAGAAACCCACTCTCTCTGGGCTGACTTTCCGCAAGGACATCGCGTTGGCACTGGTTTCTGGGAGTTTCTTTCGTGACCACCCCGGAAAGGTGGGGTCCCAGCCCCACACGAGAGATCCCAGGCCTTCCGGAAGGGTCTCCCAAGAAACTCCTCCACACTCTGCACGGAAGCCATCGGGACCTCTGTGCCGGTGACGCGCACGCGGGGAACACTTACCCGGTGGCCCTTCTCCCCCGGCAGTCCAGCCAGGCCGTCGAAGCCGCGGTCGCCCTGCGAGGGACAGAGGGACCTGCTCAGGGGCGCCACTGCACACAGCTTGGCCGCCCTTCCGGCAGCATCCGCGCACCCCGGGTCCCAGAACCTCCGCGTGTGGCGGCCACCGGCCTCCGTTCGCCACAAATTCCGCTGTCGGCTCTGTGTTCCGGGGCCCTTTTCCCCCAAACACCAACGAAGGCTACAAACACAGAGCTGACTTTTGTCCTAGGGCCACAGGCTCTGAGCCTGGATGTCAAACGAGTGCCTGTCTCGCTCACCGCTACACCCTCAGCGCCCGGCACGGCCGGGCGCACTCGTCACCAACGGGGCCCCCTGGCGCCCCGGGCCACCCCGGGCTGCCTCCTGGAGTCGGGGCGCACAGCCCTGCCTCGCGGACGTTGCAAAGCACGTGGGGGAGGTCGAGAGCATGCTAGTTCAGGCTTAAGATGCCTCTGTTGTTGGAAGAAGTCCACTTTCTGCAGGGAGAGATTCAAGAAGGCCCTTCTTCCCTCCTGCCGCTCGGGCGACTCGAGACCAAAGCCTCCTCCCCTGAGCTCGGGTCGCGCGGGGAGCACCCGAGCTCATCCACACCAGCTACTAGGTGAACAGGCGTCTCGGCCGCCGGCGGGCGCGGTGACCCATTGTCCACCCCCTCCAGGTAACGCGGGAGAAAGGCGCCGTGCACAGCCCCGGATGGCGCTCCAGAGCTGGGAAAGGAAGGGCCGGCCGAGAACAGGGGTGGGGGCTCCACACCAACGCGGGGGGCGGAGGGGTGGCCACACTGCAGATTCCGTTCACGCGCACACGTGACTGACCCCGCGTCCGCTCACACACAACGTCTGCTGGCTCCCTGCGACGCGGGGGAGCAGACGCCCCAAAACCGGTCGAGAAAGTTCCCTGTCTCGTGCACCTGGCATTCCTCGCGTCAGCCCCCACGTGCGTGCTCTTGCCGTCTGTCCGTTCACGGACGGCTGGCAGAGCTGAGATTCCACGCGCCCCCCTCCCCCAATGCTCGCCACCTGCTCAGAGGGACCCATCTGCCCCCTCAGCAAACTAGCTGCAGTTGCCATGCTGGCTTGTGACATTCACCCCGGCAGCCCTGGTCCTCGACCGCCTGGAACCCAGCTGAGACACGGACCCAAGCAGAACCTTCCCCACCCCCAAGGTCCCCCCGAGATGAGCACGAACGTCATGACTCGTTACTTGTCACCACAGTGACCTTCATCGCACCGCCGCCATGTTGGCCGTGCCATCAACACGATGACGGCGACCGCGGCCGCGTGCAGGATGCCAGGAGGCGGCGAGCGTAGCCTACCTTCGGGCCCGTTTGCCCCGGCATCCCTCTTGCTCCGTCACTCCCAGCTCGGCCCTGGAACACAGGAGGGAAACTGTCACCGGGGTCTGGGAGTCGTGGCCTCCTGCGATGCGAAGCAGTCACACGGCCCCACGTGGCCAGGCTGGTCCGGAGGACCCCGACCGGGCTCCCGGGGCTGCTGTGTGCCTCTCACGTGACTCCAGTCTTTCTGAGCCTCGCCGTCTGAAATGCCAGATGGGGAAAATGCCAGTCGCCTGTGTCCGGGATGAGACCAGGCTGCGAGACCAGCAGTGGCCAGGCAGCTCTGTGAGTCTGTGGGACTGTGGGTCTCGGGCTCCAGAGAGAGTGTGGCCGGGCAGCAATCCACAGCCCGCTTCCCTTGCACCGTTCGGAAGCCAGATTATGGACAGGAGAGTCACAGAAAGGAGGCCCTTAGGGCCAGTCCAATTGGCTACAAAAGGAACCGAGCCCCACAGTGGTGGCTTGTCTCACTAAAGCCACACGGCTGCCCACCATTAGCAAGACACTCATCCGTGGGGGCCACTCCTGGGGCCATTACTTCCAGCTATTTCCAGGAAAGTGACAAGGACAAGCCCACGGTCCCCACCCGACTGGCCACGGGGCTGAAGGGTCGGGCCCACTACAAAGGCCCCACGGTCACCCTGGGAGAGCCCCACCAGGCTTGAGGCTGCCTGGACAGGGACAGGGCCAGATGCCGCCCTGTTAACGAGGAAATGCCAGCCCGCTGGGAATAAAGACCTGGCCCAAAAGAGCACCTTCTCTCCTCCCCTCGTCCCGCGTGCACCTGATCAAACGAGGCCCTCACCGCCGAGCACAGAGAACATTTGGAAAGCGACAGCTTTCAGCCTCAAAGTACAGGGGAGACAGGGCAGGAGCAGAGAAGAGAGAAGCCGGGGACCCGGGTGGACCCCAAGGAGCTGGTCTGTCCCACCCGGGGTTAAAGTTTACACGGAGCTGCGGGGATGAAAATCCCCGTCAGGAAAGGCGCCCAAGCAATGCGGCTCCGGGGCAAAACGCCGAAGCCAGGCCAGGTGAACGGAGACACGGGTGGGGCCCCTGCCCTCCACAGTTGTCCAAACCCCCCCGGAGTCAAGGGAGATTGGTCAGAACGGTTCGCGTGACCTCCCGGCAGGATGTGCAGCGGCTCCCGACGACCAGCACCCCGACTCCGGCCGGCAGCCCCCCGCCCCCGAGCGGCGGCCAGGCCAGCACAGCCCACGGGGGTCCCCGCTCGCGGCTAGCGCTGGCTCCACGGAGGCGTCCTGCCTGCCCCACGCACTCTCCAAGCGGCCCGGGCGGCCCAGGGCTCAGCACGCCTCGGAGAGGCTCACACCTGCACCGGGTCGACCGCAAACAACCCCAAAGCTTCTCTTCGCCCGCGTAAGGCGTCTCTGGCCGAGTAGATCCACTCGTCAGAGCATAGCGTGGGTTCGCCGTGCTCTCCCTGGCTCGTCCGCACGGTGAGGCTTAACTGATAGGAACCTGTGCCGTACGCCCTGTTCAGCAGCCACGGCCCCAGGGAAACAAACGGGTCTCCCACACTAGAACGCCCTCCCAGAGTCCCGGGGGGCCGGGAAAGCGGGCGAGCGACAGGACGCTTCCTCCAAAACCAAGGCCGTCTCTGGAGACATGAGGCCGCCTCGAGGACATAAGGCCCAGTGAGCCTTTTGTGTTCTCCATGCTCGTGCCCAAAGGGCCGCGGGAGTTGCCTTAATTAAAAATGCCTGTTAGGGGCGCCTGGGGGGCTCAGTCGGTTAAGCGTCGGACTTCGGCTCCGGTCACGATCTCACGGTTCAAGGGCTCGAGCCCCGTGTTGGGCTCTGTGCTAACAGCTCAGAGCCTGGAGACTGCTTCGGATTCTGTGTCTCCCTCTCTCTCTCTCTCTGCCCCCCGCACCCCCCCCCCCATGCTCTGTCTCTCTTTCTCTCCGTCAAAAATAAACATTGAAAAAAAATAAAAAATACAAATAAAAAAACCACAACATCAACAAGCTCAGGACGGAGGCCAGAGACCAGGTTGGCAGAGGCCCGCAAGGCACACCTGCCCCAGGACACGCAGCACCCTCCGGCTCAGCTCACGACCCCGGGGAAGGGGATCCTGCCGTGAAAAGTTGCTCTTCGACAGAGGGGAACCACGAACCGGGCTTCCGGCCCCAAGCCTGGCAGTGGGGGCAGGGCAGACCCACCGCAGACTCCCACCCCCGTGGGGACCAGCTGCGGCCCACTGAGCCACAACACTTACCCTTCTTCCAGGCTTTCCGGCCGGGCCAGGAGGGCCCTGCACTCCTCGGGGACCCTGTCCGCAATCAGAGAGGGCAGAGTGTCAGGGGGCATCCATGTTTTTCAGAGGCAAAACCAAAGCCCTGAACCTCTGCTCCTCAACCCGGCCGGGGGCTCGCCGTCTCTCGAGTGGGCACCGCCGGACAGGGCACAGGGTCTGCTGCCCCCCGAGTGAGGGCCGCCCAGGGCACAGCCAGCGAGTTCCCCTGAAGACAGCGGCTGTTTCTGTCCCTCAAAGCTGCACACAGAGCCACAGATCCCTGCCGCTTCCTTAAAGAAATGCAGCTCTGCCCCCCGACATGCCCGTGGGCACCACCTCCCATACGCAGGATGCGCCCCTTCAAGCAGCAAGGGCGAGGTGCCCACGTACCTGAGGCCCCATGTCTCCCGGTTCGCCCTTCAGACCTCCGCTCCCCGGAGGGCCCTAGGGAGACACGGTCTGGGTTAGAGATGCTCATCAGACGCCAGGGAAGGGGGCGCCCCGTGGGGCTGGGCTCCCGCTGCAAACCAGCAAAGCTCACGGTCCACGGTGCCCAGCGTGCCTGCCCTGGACAGAGCCTGGGGGCTGAGCAGGACCTTTCCAGTTGTTTGGATCTGCTCTGAGTTTTGAACCAAATTCTGGACAGTGGGGCTTATGGCAGGAGAGCCGAAAAGCCCAGCACAGAGTCCGCTTCTCTCTCCAGGATGAAGGTGACAGTGGTCTGGCACGTTCCGCGGCTCAGGCCAGCGTGCGGGCACCCTCACGACGAGGCAGGAGCCCCAGACGGAGGGGAGCAGCCCCGAGCCAGCATGGCCGAGGAAGGTGCTGAATGCAGACCGGGGGGGGGCAGAGAGCCAAGGCGCCCCCTAGGGAACGGGGGTGGGGGGTTAAATCCTCCGTCTCCTTGCAAACTGCAAAGGCCGCAGGCACTCCCAGGGGCTCCTGTTTGCGGGCCCTGAGCGTGCCCGGGCACACACCACACACAGCTTGTGCGGCTGGGGAGGGGAGGGCTGGGGATCCCGGGTCTGTCCGTCCCCCCACCTCACCGAAGGGCTCTTGACTTTGGAAACAGAACCGTCAAGAGTTGACGACAGCCCGGAAAGAAAGAGACTCAGAGCTCCCTGGGCCACGAGGCAGAATCACAGCAGAGCTGGTGCGGCAGGCTGCCCAGCCCCCAGGCCGCCACAGCCTCCCAAGCCCCTGCCCAAGGCCCCCAGTCCCGCTGGGGTACCACTGACAACATGAGTGGTTGACGAGAGCTTAAAGTGTGCTCTCTCTGGGTGAGCTGGGAGCCCAAAAGGACCGACAGAGGATGTCCCCCACCCACCACGCTCCCCCTCCGTCCCCCACGTAGGACTCACCATGGGGCCGGGCCTCCCCGTCAGACCCATCGGGCCAGCTGGCCCCCTCAACGCCAGCTGCAAGGGAAAATGGGGCACACTGAGAAACGGCTAGCGTGCTGGTCCTAACAGGTGGGGCTCAGCTGGGCAGGAAAGGCCCGACGGGGCGCACCAAGGACGGGGGCCTCTGCAGGAGGGGTTTCTGACGGAGCTCCAGGAACCTGGCACCTCAGCTCCTCTGGGACCTGTGAGCCAACACGAACGGAACGGAGGCCGTGCAGGTGGAACCCGGGGGTGGCCTGCCCCACGGTGGGGATGGGCGTCCCACCCCCTTGGGTGCTGACCTCCTCCTTGTCCCCAGCCGGCCCTCGGCTCCGGCGGTCCCCCAGCCCCGCCCAGAGTGTGACCCCACCCCCCACCCCCACCCCCGCCACAGCCCAGCTCGGCCTCCTTTCCCCAAAGGACCTCTTCTGCTTCTATCCTGTGACTCAGTTCCCCCTCCCCCGCACGATGCCATTTTCATTTTGGTAAAGATTCGTTTCAGTTACAAAACCTTGTAAGCCCACGACCCACTCGGCTTCCATGAAAACGCACAGCCAGGCAAGGCCCCGTCAGTAACTCCAGCCGCAGGCGGTGGGGTTTTTCGTGCACCTCGTGGCATCACGTGGACAATTTGTCCCACGGCAACAGCTCAACGCTCAAGCTGTCCTCTAATTATCCTCGCATTGTGATCACTAACATCACCTCCACGGTGCCAGAGCCACATAAATACTGCCCAAACGAAGGCTTACTTAGTTTCCTGAGATGCCCCATTACAGGTGATGTTCCGCCGAACGATCACCCACCCACCCGCCTCACGGAACCGGGGTTCACTCTTGTCACCGGCCATCAGCAATCTGGAGCGTCATCAATCAAAACCTCGGCTCACTAACCAGCCGATTAGCAGAGAGCAGAGCCGTCAGGAAGCAAACGCTCCTCGGGACCCCCAGGCCAGGTGAGGGGCTTTGGGGCCTGCGGGTGCCGTCCCAGAGGCTCTATCTCTGTCCTGCCCCATCACTGGGAGCCCTTCCAGGGGTGCACGGGGTCTGTCTCTCCATCCCCCGTGCCCAGCGGAGGGCAGCAGACGGCCCTGCACGTCCGTATCCGGGGACCTGGACCCTCAGCATACACAGAGAAGCCCTGAGACACCTCCCCGACCTTTCCCAGTGCTCGCCTGGGCCCCCAGACACTGGCGAGTGCACACTCACACAGTGTCCTGATCCCCCAGGAGGCGCGCCCCTCTCCCAGCCGTGTCCTGTCCCCTCCAGGTACCACGCATCACTTACCCGGGCCTGCTGCAGGATGGCCTGAGCCTGGGACTCCTGAGCCGACACCATGGGACCCTTGGAGCCAGCGTCACCGCCCCCTCCAAAGCGGAACTGCAGGTGTAAGACAGGGGGTCACCGAGGGTGCACCGGTGTGGGTGCCCACGCTGGACCCCGGGGCCTCCCGGGTGACAGCGGAGCCTGGCGGGGGTGGGGAGGCCTCTGGTTGGACACTGTCTGGCCCGAGCCCCCTCCCTGGACACGCTGCCCCGGCCCCACCTGCCGGCTTCAGCCCTAGGGCCACCGGAAGACCCGCCCCGAGTCTGGAAAGACCTTTCTGACTTCCACGGCATCTCACTCTGAGACCCCACAGCCCCTATTTATTGCAAGAAAAAGCCAAGGGCCCGGTGCAAATGCCTGTGCTGAGGAGCCCTAGCTCCTGGCTGCACACAGGGTACCCTCAGCTGCACCTGGCCTCCTGGGTAGCACCGGGTCGCCAGCCAGAAGACTGACCTCTGGGCCAGCGGGCCCGGGCCTGGGCTCCCACAAGATCAAGGAGGGACCAGCTGGCAGCATGCCCGCTCAGGGGTCCCCGCGGGGACGGTGGGAGTCTGACAAGAGGAGCAGGCTTTCAGAGCCAGTGTCCCTGCACCTGAGGTGGGCCACTCGGGACCCTGGAAACACCCCAGGAGAGCCTATTTCTATGAGACAGTTGTCCCACATTGGAGTGGCCTGTGGCCAGGGGATGGTCCCCCTCAAACACAGAGCCTGGGGCCCCCTCTCCACCGAATTCTGAGCCCCAAACCCACCCACGCTGCCACCCACACACCCTGCCGTGCACCCCACCACCCACCCCCACACATGATACTCACAGGCAACATGAGCATGGTTCCAGGAGGGCCGGGCAGCCCATCAGCCCCTGGAAGGCCTGGGCGTCCAGGGGGACCCTGTGGACAGAGGGCCCAAGACAGCTGGGTCAGGATGCAACAGGGACGGGGCAGGGCTGTGTCCAGAGAAGGAGGGCGGAGCCGCAGCCCACGAGGAAACCCACAAGGCAAACACAGGACCAGCAAGACTCCCATGGTGCGGAATGTTCCAGAATCCAAGCACAGAGGAAAGAAGGGCCTGAGAGATGTGGGCTGAGGACGAGGAAAGGCTTCAGGGGGAGAGAAAGAGGAGGGAAGAGGTTCTGAGCCGGATCCACAGAGATGTGCAGGGAGAGGTGGGAGACCCAAGTGCAGGTGGCAGAGGGGCCACCCCAGGAGGCGGGCAGTCGGCCGAGCCAGGGCCCCCAGCAGCCAGGAGCGCCCCCTCCGGGCCTGCACACCGACTGGCGGGCAGCTCAGGAGACCCAGGCCCGTTTCCCCCATTTCCTCCGCCTGCCAGTGACCCGGCCCCCACGACGCTGCGTGTGGTCGCTCAGAAGGCGGTCGGGGTGACCGCTTCCCCTTGCTTGGACAGACACAAGGGACCCCAGTGAACGGGGGGACGTCCGTGGGACACAGACCCCTCTCGAGCAATCTCAAGAGCCCGTGTGTCCAGATGACACGGTGGCCCCCACGTGTCCTATTAATCTGGTCCCCAAAGCAGGCCGCAGACAGACACCCCCCTACAGATTCTCTAGACTGACCCTGGCCGCTCCAGAACGCTACCAATGTGAAACGGACGAGACAGTTTATTAAAAAAAAAAAACGTATTATCAGCCAGCCTCTTCACGAATCCTGGCAGATCCCCACCCAGCCTGAGGCAGAGGAGGTTTGCTTTGCAGACAGATGGAGGCGTGACTCCCTCCTCCCAGTGGAAAGGGACTCCCACCGGCCACACCCGGCATAACCGATGGGCGTCGGGTCCCGCATTCGGCACCAAGGACAGCCTCGCTCCGGCAAGGTCACCACCACCACCGGAGCGCGATGCTCCAGGCAGGGAATGGAGATCAGTTCCCCCGGTCCCGGCCCAGAAGACGGGGGACGTTGGCTCTCTGGGAACCGTCCGCGCCCGAACTAACACCGGCTCCTCTCTTCTTCCGTGGTTGCTTTGACCACAGAAGTGGTCCCCGTCCTCGGGAGATGTCGTGGACCACGGAGTTGCACGAGATGGAAAGTGAAAGCCCCTGTCCCCCCCGCAGAAGTCTCCAGGGCTAAACTGCCTGTGCGGGGCAGCGGGCCGCACGCACGGTGGCTGGCGATGGGACACGTGACTACGGGTCTACGCTCGGGAGACGCTTCTCTGTCCTGAGACACCGTCCTGCCGTGTGCCTTCTCTCCACGGCACACGGCGGCCCGTTGACGAGCTTGGCCTCACTCTGTGTAACGGCCGTGGAGTTTCCCACGCATGATGAGCCCATCGTGGATCCACCCGCCCTCTACTGGTGCGCGTTTGGCCATTTCCAACCTCCGCCGTGACACGTGCTGTGGCCGTGGACCCGCGGGCGGCTTTTTAGGAAGTCCCGCAAGCAAACCGCGGGGCCAAAGGGCTACGCTTTCTTCTACTGCTGATGGACACAGCCACGCTGCCCTTGCCTGCATCTCGGGGAAAAAAAAAACCCTTGCTTAAAAAAAGAAAAAGCACGTTTAAAAGAGGAAAATCTGGAACGGGTTTGGCCACCTGGGGTTTCTGCTTGGAAACTCGGTGCCGACATCGTTTGCTGCTGAGCCCTCCGCCTTGGAGTCGGTCCCAAATCAAACCCCAATTTAAAACTTAGGGTCCGTGCCTCCCCGGCACAAGACGCCAGCCACGTGGTGTCTCCGTGGTGTGCGTGGGTCTGTGTAGCACCGGAGGCTGGGGGCCCACTGGGGGCGGCCCCTCGTCCACTCTCCACCTCCAGAGACCCTCCTGCCATGCCCCCCACCCCTGCTCTTCCTGAGCCACGGTGCTGGGACTGCAACCTTGGTGGGAAAGCCCTCACCCTCTCGACTGCAACCAGGACGATGCCAAGGAACGGGCAGAGAACGACCCGGGAACTGGGGGAAAGAGGGGCTTTGGAGGGAAAAGTGATGCCCCGCCCTCACGAATCCGCCCAAAGCTTTAAAACGTGAGTCTTGCAGAGCAAGTAACCCACGACTGCTTGAAAAACTGTCCGCGAACCTTTGCCCGGTGCCCAGGTCTGCAACCTTGTCCCCTGAGCTGGAAGGCGGGGCTACATCAGAGGCATCTTCCCATTTCTCAGGACACTGACCCCGGGCCCCCAGTGTGGCTCACTCGGTTCCACAGCCCACGTGGGACATCGAGGGACGCTCCGGCAAGCAGGCGGGGAGGTCGCAGGGACCCTGCGTGGCTCCAGCCGCCGGATTAGAAGTGAAATAAGCAAGTCACCTTTCCTGTGTCACTTGATCAGCTGGCCCCCAAATCAGTGCCCTAACTGGCTCAGAGGAGAGGGTTGCCAAGCGGTGACATGGCAGGGCTCCAGTCACACCTACACGTAGACACGAGGTGGCCACCTCCGTGTTAAGAAGTCGCTGCTGTTTCACGGGGTTTCCGGAGGCCGTTGCTGGCCCTGCGTTTGCTCAGAGATAAAGGCCAAGGGCACTCAGATCCTTGGCAAAGCCGCCGTCAGCCGCGGCCGCAGACCCAGACCAGAAGCTGGGCCCGTGAGCCCTCCGCTCAGGGCCAGATGAGCCGCCCAGGGCCCGCCTCCAGGCTGCGGCGTGGGTGCAAACAGCACGCGGCAGCCCGAGCCCTTTTTCCTGAAAAGGGCAGCAGGGTGTCGGGGAGAGGGGGCCCCGAGGGCCAGAGAAGTCTTTACGCTGAGATATTTTTTGCTTGGCTCTTAGACCTAGAAAAGGAGAGGACCGTGGCGTGAATTCTCTAGATTCTCAGTTAAGTATGCCCTACCTTCCTCCTTTTTAGGCCAGCGCCTGGGCAACAGGAGCTCGGGAGTGGCTCCAGACGGCCCCTTCCCGTGGCACATCTGAAAACTGGGGTCGGGAGCTGTGCCCACAGCTGGGGCCACAGCCTCGAGTGAAGCTGGCACATTTCTCCCTCACCCCACTGACCCCACCTGCCCCAGCCAAGCCCGCCACCCGGAGCGGGAGCGGGCACGGGGAGGAACGCCCGAGCTCTGCCCGTGGAGGCTTTCCGAGCCCCGGGAGGCTGGCAGAGGCTGGACAGAGGCACTGAGATGTGCCCAGGACTGTTTCTAATTCCAGCCTGCCCCCTCTCAGAAGGAGCGTCCCAGCATGCTCCCTGATGTGAAAGTGGGTCCTTCTGGCCTCCGGGGGGCTCAAGGGATTAGCCACGTCTCACAGAGGGGGAATGTTCAAGCCACAGCAGGACAATGGCCCGCCACGCCCAGGGCAGGGCTGTGCCACCGGGGCTCACGGCCCTGCAGCTTATGGGACACCTTCACGTCCAGAACGGAGGCCCTTTCCCACGGGAGCACCTCCCTCCCTGCAGAATCGGATGCGCTCAGTGCCCTCTGGGGAGGGAGCGGCGAGGGAGGCCCACGCCCGTCTGTGACCGCGTCCTGTGTCCACGCGCAGAGACACCGGCCGTGGGGAATTTGCGAATAACCAGGTGTGGTGGGTTGAGTGGTGGCCCCATGGAAGACGCTTAGGAGCACTGGGAGAGAACAAATCCGCATGGCCGCCCAGGAGGCGGGAGAGAACAGACCTGCCCTGCCAGCCTCACTCAGTCACACAGCCTCACACAATCTGCAACGGAACCTGCCTGTCAGGTGCCAGGGACCCAGCCTGGGTCCATTCCCCCGGCGCTGGGCGTAAATCCTGCCCACCCGGGGGGAGAGCGGTGGCACAGTGGGGTGCAGTCCCCAGGGTGGTACTGGGGACCCCACACGGCACCCGTGATGCACACTCTCTCGTGGGGGAGGCGGTACCGACCGCTGTTCCTTAGGGCAGGGCTTACGAACCTTGTAAGGCACAGAAAACACATCCAAGCAAAATCCCACAGGAAAGCCCGACCCTTGAAAGATAAGGAAGGGCGGGGGTGGGGGGGGTGACCCTGCCGGGGGCACTGAGTGCATCCGATTCTGCAGGGAGGGAGGTGCCTCCGTGGGAAAGGGCCTCCGTTCTGGACATGAAGGGTCCTGAGAGGAAACCTGCACGTGGGATCCGGGCTCCCTGGGAGTGCTCAGCCCCGTGTGGGATCCACAGGGCCCTCAGGACACCCGGCTCTCTTGTCCCTCGTCTCCCTCTGAGCCTGAGCATGAAGTAGGGACCGGGACAGCTGGCCCGGATCAAGCCCACCCCTGCCTTGCCTCCGCCTCGTGGCTTTCACAAGCTTTCCCTCGGCCCACCTGGGCCCGGCCGTCTGTCACTAAGGGGCGCTGGACGGGGTGATGGCTCAGGGCCCTTCTCACCTCTGACACCGCCCAAGCCCAACAGCAGCTCGGAGGAGCTGACAGCCACCCAGTTAGGAAGACAGGCTCAACTAGTCCAGGCCAGATAGGAAGTAATCAATAATCAGTAACAGGAAAGGCTACAGAATCCCAGGACGGTGGAACTGGAGTGGGAGGGAGGGGCGGATCCTTCCAGATCACCCAGTGAAAACCTGTCACGTCCAGACAAGCAAATGGGGCCAAGCAGATAGGGGATCGGAACGTGCCACCCCAAAAGCGCCACTTTGCTCTGAGGACGATATCGAGCTGACGGTAACCGAGAATCAGCAACAGTTCTCTGCCCTCCCCTCACCTGCCTTAAAGGAGCGCGTAAGTTTCCCCCTGGACAGATGGCACGAATTACCCACCACCGCCATCTGTACCAGGATGAGGACGCTCCTGATCACTGGAGACCGGGAGACTGAGCACAGGCACTGAGAAAAGGCTGCACAAGCAGATCTTACTAAAACGACCCTTACCTTCCATTCGTTTCCCTGTATGTTTCCTAGTCACTTTCCCATAATTTATCGCCCTTGGTTGAAATGGTACAGAAGCCCTCAGGTCCCTGTACATGTAAAACTTAAAACAGTAATAAAAGCGTGTGCCTGTTCTCCTATCGATGCCCTCTTTTCGTCCGTTTAATTTATAGGCCCCCATCACCAAACATAAGAGGATGGAGGGAAATTTTTGCATTCTACACAGGGATTCTGAGGTCTCCCTGCTGGCAGGTGGCAGGGTAGGATCCCGACTCTGCATCCAGTGTTCTTTGCCAGCTGATCAGCTGCGTATCCGGGAGACGTGGGCACAGAGAGGATGCTGAGCTTTGAGCAGGGACAACTCCTTAGACAATGACGGCTCACGCAGGGCCCAGAGGGTGGGCAGCCCTCGGCTCCTGGAATCGGCTCCCCCTCCCCACTTGGAAAGGAACTGGGGAGGCCGAGTGGGCTGCAGATTTCTCTCTGACTCCAAGGACAGCATCGCTTCAGAGGAGCAGGTCCCTCTGCCGACCCCATCCCCAGGCCCCGTGCTCCTGGATCCTGGCTTGAATTTAGAGACACCAGTTGCTTAAACCAACGACATCCCACTGGCAGCGGCCTTGGCTCCTCTAACAGAGCCGCTGGGTCAGGTACGGAGCACCAGTCACCAACGAGACCACCCACCCCTGGCACCGAGCCGGTTCAGCCCAAAGGCAGGGGCCAAGTGGGGAGGAGTCCTCAGTGCCAGACAGCGCGTGGAACTGGGTGATGGGCAGGTGGCGGGTGGAGGGACGGAGACTCGTAGCAACACCGAGGCTGACCAAGGTCCATCAGTACCCATGCACCCAGTGGATAGCGTCCCGTCCTGCATCTAACGGAGACGACAGCACCTGCCACGCCGTGTGGTCCCCCCTCACTGACCTCTGGGCTCAGGCACGCTTGTGGGTCCGTCTCATGACGGCCCCCGTGGGGGCACTTGGTCATACAGATCTTTGGGGAAAGGGCCCCCAGAGCGAGCTGGGGGAGGGACAGCAGAACCCTATGGTCTGGTCCCGCGGCCAGGGCAGAGCAGTGGCCCCGTGTCTGGAGTCGTGCCGTGTGGCAGAGAGGAGGGGCCGCACGCGGCGAGGCCGGGAGGCGTGGGAAGGCCACCAGCTGCCAGCGTGGCAGGCCACCTTGTTTGCTGCCCATGCGATCTGTCCCCAGAGGCCCCCCCGCCGCACAGAACGCGGCTAACCCCAACCCCCTTGGTCAGGGCTCACCTGCTCTGTCGGCGGGCACCCCCACCACGTGCCCAGCACCGCTCCAGAGCCTGACCGCCAGACCCCCAAGGACTTCCTGCCGCGTGGCCTCGGAAGCAGACCCTAGCCGTCCCTCCACACGACCAGACGCGGCCACCGGGCCCCGTCCACGCGCCCTCCCTGCGCGTCAGGTCCACACTCTCTGGGCGGTGTGCCGGGCCCTGGGGACAGCCATCCATCAGGACACACACACGCTCCTGGTTTCTCCCGTCCACAACCTGGCCACCCGATAACTATCTGTGCCCATGTCGATATTCACGGGACCAGAAAGAAGAAAGGAGACAAGCGGGGCAAGAACCCCATGGCTGCAGTACCCCAAAACTCCACTAGGTGTCAGAAAGAAATTGTGGCTCAGCCTTCACCTCAAGGGCAGCGACCTGGGGACACATCCCTTTGCTCTGGGGACCTCAGGATGCATCCCTTTGACGGAGGAGGGGGGAGAGCAGGGGGGAGGGACATGTCCCTTGGACCGGGGGCGGGGGAGGGGGGACTCCTGGACGGGTCCCTGTGACTGGGGAGGATCCTGGGACATGTTCCTTTGACCGAGGGAGACCCCGGAACGAGTCCCTTTGACCCAGGGCAAGCCCTCCTATTCAGTAGCTTGATTTCCAACAAGGAAGACAGAGTGCAGGGAAATCAAGGCCTAAGAAGCTCACATACTAAGGAAGGACGGATGTAGGTCCCAATCCCAAGTGACGTGGACAACACGTGGACAGCCTGACATCGCAGGCCACAGGGCCCTCTGTGAGCTGGTCACAGCAGCCTCAGCGGGACTCAGGCCTGGCACACTCTTGCCCTTGCAGGTGCCATCTGCCCCAGGCTCGGGGCTGGGCAGCACTCGAGCTCCCTAAATTTCCGAAGACGGACGCAATGAGGGGGTGGCGGGAGGGGTGAGGGGGCCAGGGGCAGTTTGGAGAAGAAAGCCGATATACCCGTGCACATGTGAGGACAAGGCCAGCCACGGAACGGAAAGGCACACGGACAAGCCCACAGAGCGTGTGGTCCCAAGGAGCGGAGTCACCCCTTACCCTTTCTCCAGGATCACCCACTTGGCCAGTGGGTCCCATCGTTCCCGGAGGTCCTGGGAGACCCTGGAATTAAAATCAGGACAGAATTCAGATACAGTAGCAGGGCAACACCCCATTCCCGCCTTGCTTCAGGGGAGGGTGGGGGTGGGCCAGGGCAGCGCTGGGCCCCGGGGGGTCTGCAGAGATGGGTGCCCCCTCTTTCCCATCCAGGACCTTCAAGGGGCGTCACTGACCCCGCACCCCCAAGCACCTCCCACAGGCCCGGGAAATTAAACACAACACTCACCGCGGGGCCTTCGGGGCCCGGCGGCCCCTCCATAAGCATGCCCTGGAAAAGACAGGAGACAGCGTCTGAGACCCCAGGACCCCGTCTCTCCTGAGATCGCAGCACGGGTCCGGACGCCCGGCAGGGTGACCCTGTGAGGGTCACAGACCTGGGCCTTGGAGTGCATGCCCACCAGGGGCCCAGAGCAAGGAGGGGCCGTGGCCAAGACCGTGGGACCCGCGGCCTCCTTCTTCCCAAGCCCCTCACCCTGCCACTAGGCCCCCTGCCTGACGGCCTTTATGGCCAAGTGGGGACAAGGCCTCCTGCCCCCCGCTCCCATCAGCCTGGGCCCCAGAGAGGCCCGATGCGTAGCAGAAGGGGTCAGAAGACTGAGCTCCCTGGCCCAGGTCATGCCCCCCACTCCTGGGCATCCGCTTCCAGCCCCTTCCCAGGGCAGGACCTTCCTCCCGCAGGATGAGGGAGAGCTGTCAATGCCCGGGCCGGGCAGCCCCAACTCCCTCTGTGTCTCTTCCCACTCCAGGGGGCTCCGAGGCAGTGCACAGCCTTGTAGGAGGGAAGGGGTCTCCTGCCCCCTGCGGGGCCTCACTCGCTGAGAACACAGCAGGCATAGTATCTGGGGGTCCCGGGACCAGCAGGCTTCAGCCACACTCACGCCACAGCCACACCCCGCGATTCTTGAGACTGCCGGGACAAGGGTCAGGGAGCCGGATGTCCCTGGCCCCCCGGGGCAGACCTTGTGCCCCTGCTCCCCCAGACCAAAGAGAGCATGGACTGCTTCCCCACCCCCGGGGGTGGCGTGTGCCTCTGTGCCCGGACTCTGCTTCCACGGTGACCAGCGGCCTTGAGAGACCTGGGGGGTGGGGGTCTCCCAGGGGGAGGACGGGGCACGCCCCGCCAAGGCTCGCAGACCCGTGCAGGCGAGGTCCTCCGACCCCCCAGCCTCCCCGCCGGGGCTCCCCGGTCACTGCCAACACGTGTTTACACAGATGTGCGCTCAGAGGACTATTTGTGCTTGAGATACACACAGGCAGTTCATCCAAATAGCTTTCGAATTTCCTCCTCTGACAAAGGCAGCTGAGAAGGCTCAGAAACCAGGCTGGGGTCAAGCGAGAGACCTCTGGCCGCGGCGGGGCCCGGGGCCCACAGCCGTCTTCCCAGACACGCCGGCCATTGTTCTCGGGGAGCTGGGGTGCTGCTGGCCACAGATCTCACGGGAGCCTGGGCGGGGAAGGATGCCGGAGGCCGGGGCGAAGGGGCCCAGCACAGGGAGCCCAGACTGCCCACCAGGGACCGAGGAAGGCTTCATGGACGGGGGAGAGCAGTGGCCTTCCCGCGGGGCCCTAGCCGGGTCCGCGCCCCACCAGGGTGCAGGCGCCAGTCTCAGAATTCGGCGGGGAGAGTCCCCGCGAGTGACGGGCTCAGCGTCTGCCCAGCTCAGGACAACTCTGAGTGCGGGGGCGTCCCCCCCTTACACAGCACAGAACAGAGCCTCCGAGGGATGTCCACCGGGCAACACAGGACACGGAGTCTGGGGACTGGTCCCTGGAGGCCCAGGACAGCCAGGAGCAGATAAACCTGAGTCCCCTGAGCTGACAGGATTTCTGCCTTTCAAGGGGCCCCTGACCCCGCCGGAACGTGTGGATCCGAGGGGAAATGGCGGCCGTGTCCCTGGCTTGGAGGGAGCCAGGGAGCTGGTACCAAGAGCCCCTGTGACATGAGTCCACCTCCCCAGAGGCAGGGCGCTGGGGCAGGGCGGGGAGAGCGGAAACAGGGGCCACCCCGCCCTCTGCGGTCAGCGGTCAGCTGTGAGACCCACGTCGGCCGGCTCCCAGGATTCGGCCATCTGTTTACAGAGCTAAGACTTTGAGAGCATCTCTGGGTTGAGAAACTGCGACTGTTTACACAGTGTCCCTGGGGGACCGGCGAGGGCCCTGTGGACACGTGGAACAGACTGGGGACTGGGAAGGACACAGCGCTGGGGCCAGAGGAGGGAGCCCTTCCCTAACTGTGCCCAGATGCCTCGGTTTCCCTCACTTTGTGTAGACACGCTGTCTGTGTGGGACCATCTCTCCTCTGTCAGCCCCTCCTCCGCACCCCCCGCCCCCCAGCAGCGCACCTCCAGGCGACCCATCTGGCAGCTGCGAGCAGACAGGAAGCTCACCCAGAAGGTACCAGCCTGGCCTCTCCCCAGGCCTCCCCGGAGGCCAGGCACCTACCTGCCCTGGGGCCCCACGTTCTTCCCAGGCAGGACAGCCTGCCTGCCTCCGAGGCCATGCGGACCCCACAAAAGGCACCCCAAGTCAAGAGCGGATGCGCTCGGGGACCAGACTGTCTGGGCACATGTGCAGTCAGTGAGATCAGCTCAGCGACGCTGCTGGCTCACCTCTGGCCGGGGCGGCCCATAGTGACCGCGGCAAACCCGCTGTCCTCTCGGGGAGCCCCCACCCAGGCCACCCATGGCACTGCGTTCCCCCCCAGCCCACCTTTCCCCTGGGCCTGGTGTCGGGATCTTTCGTGTTGCTGAGCAGGAGGCCGCCTGGCACTGGCACCCCCTCAGCACCTCCGCACCTTCCCCTGCACCGCCACCCCCCACCCCCAGATAAGCCCTCCTTGGACCCGCAGGGGGTAGCGGAAGAGGGTGTTCTCAGCCTGAGAAAAGCATGTGCGTCCGGTGGCCAGGACCCAGTGGGACGGACAGGCCCCATCCCCGGGGCAGGCCCGGAGGGAAGACACACAGCCCCGGGGGACGGCCTTTGCCATCATCCAGCTGCTTCCGCAGGCCGGGCAGGGCGCCAAGCCGGAGGGCTCTGCCCAAATCGCCCGCTGGGGGCTCCACCCCAGAGACGGGCCACGTCCCGCCTGCCCTAGCCATGGGGCTTCGGGTCCCTCTGGGGGAGACCAGTGGTTGAGGTTCTAAAAGCACCAGAGGAGAGAGGCCACAAAACTCCCCGTCCCAGGAATCCGAGGTCGTGAGGCCCTGGGAGCCCCGATGTCCCGTCCCAGGCCCAGCCACCGGGAACCACGTTCCGGTGGCAGGAGCCTTAGCCCAGCTCCCCCTTGTGACCAGCCTCGGCGCAGGACGTCGGCCTTCCCCTCCGGCACACGGACGACGTGGCAGGGTGGACCTCGGCCAGCCCCTCCCCGTTGTCGTGTCCACGGCCACTGCCCGGCCCACACCGCCGTGGCCACCACACGCGGCCGCAGGGCCCACCCCAGCAGGCTGACCACGTGGCGGCCCGTCCGCCCAGGGGTCAGGGCCTGAGCTCGGCAGCTCTCAGATCACCGGGGGGCCCCTGGTGCCCCCGGCAGAGGACCCGGCAGCAGGGAGCGGCCGCTGCGCCCCCGGGACCCCCCCCCCCGAGCCCCTCATTCCATCACAGCCCTGTACTTGCCCGTGACCCCAGCCTGGTAGAGCAAAGTTCATCAAAGTCCCTGCACGCGGCTTCACCAGTTCCCGCAAGCCGACCCCAGGTGGTGGCAGTGCCGGCCTTGGAGCGGCAGAGTCCGCGGCTGAACCCCTGCACTGCCCGGCCCGGCCCGAGGGGCCCCGCCAATCCCCTGACCCCTCCAGCGGCTTCCCTCCTCCCCACGGGTTCTGAGTCCCTTTCCTCAAGGTGCTGGAGGCCGGCATGGAGTGAGGCGCTCAGACCGCACGTGCTCAGCGCAGAGGTCTCGCCAGCTGGAATCCCAGGCTCCTCGGTCAAGGTCTAGAACATTCCCCCGCCTGAGGCCCTTTCCTCCAGCCTCTGCCCCAAGTACATGAGGCGTCCACGAGGGGCCCCGTCCGTGGGTCGGGCCGTGTCCTGCATGATCCACACGACCCACCACCCCCACCGACTTCAGAGAGGGGGCAAGAAAGCGTCCTTACTGGTTCGATGATGGCAGGCTCTCCCTTCTGGCCCTTCTCTCCTCGGGGTCCTTCGATCTGGGTTCACAGAACACAGGGGGGCAGAGAATGAGGCAGAGAAGGGAAAGGAAGGCCTGACCTCATGGGATCCCAATGGCTCACGGCCGGCCGGCCCCAGCCCCAAAGCTGCGGGCGGGAAGGAGCCCCTCAGCCCCGCAGCCCTCACCCCTTCGTAGATGGTGTCCTGGTTGGCGGGCATGCCCGGCCCTATCTCCGACGGGGACACCGTGGGGTCGTAGTAGGGGTCGTAGTAGGTCTCGTCCAGGTTCCTGATGGTTTCTTCCGTAAACTCGCCTTCCAAGTCATCTTCCGGAGGCGGAGCAGGCTGGGAGGGAGGGGAAGCGGGGGTCACCGGAGGACGGCAGGGACGGGGGCCTCCCAGGAGCCCGGTCGAACGTGCTGGGGCAGGCAAGTCACACATCCTCCCCTCCCACCACAGGGAAACGTCACCCCAAGCCCCACAGCACCCCATGGCAAGCTAAGGCCGCACCGGGATCGGCACGCCGTGGGGAGGCGGGTGGTGTCGGGGGCTCCGCCCCAGGGCCTTGCGGTCTGGGGGTAACATGCCTCCCACCCCATCCCACGGACGGGGGGGTTTGGACCCCTCAGAACCCAGACAGGGACGCTGCAAACACGCACATCCCCATCCGTCCCCACGGGAACCCCAAGATACCAGGCAGACGGGGCTCACTCCGCCCATCTGCAGATAAAAAATAGACGACGGTGTCACAGGCTCAGCAAGTCAGGGGCCCCTAACCCGGGGGCCGGGGAGCAGGGAGCCAGTCCGGGACCCCCGAGGTCAGAAGCGGAGGGAAGAGGGAGCCCCGGGCCCTCATCCAGCCCCCCCGCCCCCCGCACCAGGCCCGCTTGCAAGGGAAGCAATTACATTGGAGGCGTTGGCCGTGCTGGTCGTGCTGGTGGGAACCTCGGCCCCTGCGCCGTGATCGGGGGGCAGGTCGGGATTCTCGAAGCCCTCGTAGTTCAGGTCCTCGTACGGGGCGGGCGTGTAGTAGTCCTCGCTGGGCATGTAGTCGTAGACCCCGAGGCCGGGGTCGTCCTCCTTCCCGGCCCCCTCGCTGGTGTCGGGCACTGAGGGGGCTGCTGTGGGGGCTGCGGTCTGCTCCTGAGAGCGGGGAACGGAGCGGGAGTCAGGGAGGCGGGGGCCCAGGGGAGCGCCGTCCGTGGCCTAAAACCCCTGGTGCTGCACTTGAGAAGGGTGAACTGTATCTCCAGGTTTAAACGGGGTTTTTTTTAAGTGTATTTATTTTGAGAGAGAGAGAGAGAGACGGACAGCAGGGGAGGGGCAGAGAGAGAGAGAGAGAGGGAGAGAGAGGATCCCAAGCAGGCTCCATGCTGCCAGCACGGAGCCCAACGCGGGGCTTGAGCCCACGAAGCCCCGAGATCGTAACCTGAACCGAGACCAAGAGTCAGATGCCCACCCCACTGGCCATCCAGGTGCCCCTGTATCTCCGGCTTTAAAAGGAAGACGCCACACTCAAAGCAACGTGCCCCTTCACACCTCTGTCTGCTGTCCACACGCCGTGGTGGAAAGCCCTCTGCCCAGCCTCCCCGGCAGCACGATGCACAGAAGGTCACTCAGTCACCCGGTCACTGGTCCCCCGCCGAGCGTCCACCCGCCACCTCCCGGCGGCCACGGTGCCCTCCCGCCCCCCCAGGGCCCCATGGCCTGCAGCGCCCAGACCTCGGCAATCTCTGTGGTCTCTCTAGCAGCTTCCACGGGCCTGGTGGTGGGGGCGGGCTCCTTGCCCGGGTCCTCTGTGTCCTCGTAGTAGGGGTACTCGTAGTAGTACGCGCCGCCTTCCCCCTCTCCTTCTGGGTACTGAGAGCAAATTGGGGCCGTGTGAGGAAGGCGGCACCCCACGAGGAGCCACGCTGCTCTCCTCGCCATCCAGGTCCAGCCAGGCGCGGTGGGCACCGGACAGTCGTGCCCCACTCCGGGTGCGAACCCGCCTGCGGCCCCGAACCAGCTTCTGCACCCTCCAGCTCCTTGGACAGCAGAGTCAGCCCCGCGAGAAGCACAAGGGAGGACACGGGGGCCCCAGGTCCCCTTCAAAGAAAGTCGAGTCCTAAAAGGCACAGACGTGCTGACACTTTAGGACCAAGGGCCCGGACAGCCGGCCAGACCGTGGCATCTCGTGACAACACTGCTGTCACTCAGGATCCCTCACCCTCTGCTGAGGCCCCAAACCATAGCAACAGGGAAGGTGTCACCCTCAAAACTGGGGCAGGAGTCCGGCCAGAAGGCCTCAAATGCCTGCCTGGGCAATGGGACCTCGGCCTCACGAGGGACACCCTTCCTCTTCTGACTGGTCGCCACAGAAGGAGGGCAGAGGACTAATGAGAGCAGGTTGAACATGACAGAAGACGTGAGTCACCCGTGACCAGGAGGTGGGAGGATCTCCACTCATAAAAGGTGGGGAGAACGCCAAGCGGGCTTAAGCAAGGTGCTGCCGACGCGGGGCGGGTGGGTGAACAGAATTCCACAGACCGCGAGCCTCTGACTCTCGCCCAGTGGGTTTATTTTGAATACTGGTCCCCCGGCTTTCGTGTCCCTCCAGCCCTGCCGGCCTGCCTGCCCGGCCCCCCGCCAAAGGGCCTGCCTACAGCCCTGCCATGAACCAACGGGGCCAACTCACATATTCATCCGGGTTGGGATCCTGTGACTGGGGGGTGTCGGGGACCGCGGTGTCACAGTCTGGGCTGTAGTGCTCACAGTGATCGTAAGCCGCCCGATGGTCCGAGACAAAGAGCAGCTGCTGGATGTCACCCTGGAAAAGGACAAAAGCCCTTGAATAAGTGGAGCACCGGGAACTCACATGGGGATACGGGAGGCCAGCCTGATGCCCTGAGGTGGTGAGCAGCCCAGACAAATCTTGGGAGGAGCTTGTCCTCAGGACCAGCCTTCCTTTCAGGGAGGTGCCGCCTCGAATCACCACCCAAGCTAGGATGGCCAGCCCATCCAACCATGGATCTAATCCATCCACCCACCCACCCATCCACCCATCTATCCATCCATCCATCCATCTACCCATCCACCCACTCATTCTTCCATCCATCCATC